GTGTAGCAGTCAGTAGGTTAGAAAATTATTCGGCAATTGAGAAACTTTTTTTAAAACTGAAAGATGCCCTTTCGTTGAGCATAAATGTAAAGGCGTAATTTACTATCAAACAAGTACAAGAAATAATATTTTCATGTATGTTCTCCATAAAATATATTTGAATCTATAAAGGCAGTCAAAATAAATGATAAAATGCATACTACTTAATTATCCGGTTTTCACAATACATACGTTTTGCTAGTGGTCACAACGAAGCTCCTTAAAAAGCCCGCATCCTATCATGACTGAAACGACTTCAGAGTGGACTGCACGATAATCAGTATCAAAACCTGAGTTAATGCCGATTAACGAAGGAGCATATGTCGGCATGTTGCGTGATTTTCGGCGACTACTGTACAGCTGTCTCTCCCACCTCAAATACCAGACTTCGACAGCAAGCCAATGCCTGGAGGACCGACGCAGCTCAACATTCCGTCTACGCGTACCGCACACAGCCCAGTCCCCGCACAGTGTACGCGTTCTCACAGAGGGACGAGAGCTCATGTCTCATGTGTACGAGATTTCCTTAGATGCCACATTGAGGAACAATGGAGCCTGGCTGCCAGTGGATCCACAGACAGAAGTAGTACCGACCACGAGGAGTTTGTCACCCAGTTAGTTGGTAGAACACAACTTTTCGCACACCGTGTTAACTTCACACAGTAAAGCACACACAACGCCGTAATAAACACCAACCAAAAGACCCACGAAACAGAATTGTTCGGCGTAAATTGTTTTTCGAAACTGCATAGTGGGTCTGACAGCGAGAGCTAATTAACTTTCGATCGGGGGGAGGCCTGACAACAGTCATTTTTTTTAGAGTTTTAGGTTAAAAACCTGCCGGACATAAATAGACGGCCAGCTAACTGACGAGTCTACTTTAACGCCACTTAAGTAGGTTGTAGTCCTCGTGCCGCCGGAAATGAGAAACCTACAAAAACATCCCCGACAAATCAACCACTAAAAACGGTAACTGCTGGGGGCAATCGAACGTTGATGGGCAGTATGTCCGCAGACTTCAAGCCGATAGATACAATACTCCTGTGCCAGCGAACGCCGACACGAAGACCACAAGAACAGTGTGGAGGGAAATACTAACCTGAAACTTGGATCGATCACAGATGGGGCATCCAACGGGAGTAGACCCCTGCTTATTCCTGAGATAAGTTGGGAATTCTCTACCGACAATGCCCACTTTAAGATGAG